CTGAAACAAGGATACTTCAACTGAAGTCATTCTAGAACTCTAGTTTTGTATTCATTATATTACCAGGCCATCACTAAAATGAGGGTTATTACACATATGATGCTATTAAGATGAATGTGATCATTATGTGCATCTAAAATATACCACTAAAATCTTATCAAAAATATGATGCTAAATCAAAGAACTGAGATATAAAATTTTAAGGGTACTATAAATTCAATTCTAAAACACAAAAATAGCTAGTAGCAATAGTGTTTCATTGGTTTTCCTTTTCTTTGTCTTGCCATATTATTTTATTAAGAATGAAAGCATACACCATTTAATTCAACCTTGGTAGATGATGTATGCCTGTAATTCTAGCACGCTGGGAGGCCAAAGCAGAAATACTGCAAGTGCAAGTCCAGCGTGAGACACTTAATGATTTAAAAAGACTTTGTCTCAAAATTCTAAAAATTTTAAAAATGGATTGAGGCTCAGTAATTCCATATGACAGCCCTGTGATCAGTCTCCAGTACCACCACTACCACCAATAATAATAATAAGAAGAAAGAGGAGCAGGAGGAGGAGGAGGAACAGGAGGAGGAAAAGAAGAAGAAGGAAAAGGAGAAGGAGGAGAAGGAGAAGAAGAAGAAGAAGAAGAAGAAGAAGAAGAAGAAGAAGAAGAAGAAGAAGAAGAAGAAGAAGAATTATAATCTTTTTTTTTTTTTTTTTTTTTTGACGGGGGATTGAATTCATGGCCTTGTGCTTGCCAGGCAGGCACTTATGCCACTGTGCTAAATCCTCAGCTCTCGAATAATTTTATAAAATCTTTTTTTTTGGTAAAAGAATATACATTATAAACAAAAAACATTGTTTGATTTTTATTCTGCATGATGTTAATCTGGGAATGTGGCTGCTGCTCACATAAATTTCTGTATGAGTGTAACTTTAATATAAATGCATAAGGAATGCATATGAATACATATGCATAAAATGTATATGAATACATGCACAAATATATGTTTTTATTTGACAGTATAATATTTTGCCTATCACTGCTGAGTACTGTATTCTACAATGAGGACATTAAAGATTCTAATTTTAAATATCTAATTTTAAAATATTTCCTTTAAGTAACAGCTTGCATCCATGGATTAATGACATAACTGAATAAAATGTTTATGTTTTATTTTTATATTTCTGAATGGTTGTGAGTTTCACCGTAAAACATTTACATACAGAGATAGACTTCTAAGCCTAAATAAAATTCTATTACAATAAATTTTATGACTTATTCTTAGAACTATAGAGGAAAATTAATCATTGATTTATACATCAAACTCCCCACTAAGCTGTATGATTATACTAGAAAATTTGACTTACATTTGGGATGCACATTATAAAGCACAATGTCTGACTTTATAACAAGTAAATTTCTAAATGTTTATGAATTAATGAATACATATTCTCAAAGCATCACACATGCTACTTTTTGTTTCAAATAAGATTTAATGATATTTAACTTTGATCTGATGTTGTTTCTCCTAATATCTTAGTGATTATAACTCAACACTTTTAAAAGAGAAGCCCTCAGTGGATAATTAGCAGCAACCAAGAAAAGCTTAAACATGTTGTAAAGGTAAAGTTTCTGTCTAGGACAACTTTAGAAAATACTTCTTAGGAGACACACAGAGTCTCAGACACATGTTACAGTAAAGGAATATTTAAAACCATTTCTCTGGAATATTTCTCTCAAGCCAGTCTTTCTGGATCAGCTACCTGAGCTGAGCACTTAGCATGGTTTATATTCTGAAAGGTTAGTCTCACATTTAGGGGAACCATGCTGCCACTGAGCCTATCATGCAAATAAAATAATGAGTTTCTAGCATTTGAGTTTGCAAGTGTGTCAGTGGAACCAGTCTTCATAATTGCTCTTCCTTTTCTTCTTTTCCTACCCAAATAGTCCATGAAATAACACTGATAATGATTTCACATGGGTAAGCAACATGTCCATTTTATTTTGATCTTAAAAATATTAATCTCCATTGCTTATGTAAAACCAAGACTATCAAAAAAAAAGGTTTACAGTGGATCCAGATCATTACCTAAGCCCTAAATGGTCCAGACACTGTGATTATGCAGAAATTTAGAGGCATTAATAGAATTATCTAAGGAGTTTAAAGCAATTAGAGCCTGTTTCTAGTCTTTGCAATGAAGGCGGATCTTTTTATTCCCTTAAACACAAAGTGAGGGTACAGTGTGCTTAAGAGGAATAAATTCAATAAAGGCAACAACGCTAACAGAAACAGATTGTTAAACTTGTTAATAATACAACTGAGAAGTTTCCCTGAGGAATGATTCATAGTTTGCCTACTCTGAGTGATAGAGTACCTAATTAAGAGATGACTTGCGCTTCAGAAATCTTCAGAATAATGTTTATCAGAAGTCTATAAAATGGGAGCAATGAGAAAGGCATAGCAACAACTCTGCCAGTATTTACTTTTTAATGTGACTATTTTGAGTAATACAATTCATATTATCAGTTTTTCTGGAATCCGAATCAAAGATTTTGGAGATTCCTTTCACCAAGATACTTTCATTTTGTATGTATTAAGGAATGTGATGTATGTGTTCATTTGGGTTTAGTATGCACTGAACAATTCAGGAACTCTGTCCCAGATGAAATTTATTTAGACAATATATCTTCTACACTCTCTGCACAAATACACAAATGTAAGTATGTATTCATTATATCTTATGATTGTGAAATCATCTTAGAAAAACACATATTAAATCAGATTTTAATCTTAGCTGTATGCAATTTTATGTTTCAATTGTTTATTAGTCAAATGAGAAAAAGTACAAGCACCATGGCTGGAGTATATTATCTCAAATCCATGGGTCAAATAAAAGTACTGGGAAGCATCTTGGGCAAGGTAGTCATTTCATTACGTTCCATTGCTCCTCAACCATAATTGAATTGTCTTGTAAATACCTATCATTGTTTTCATTAAAACTTAATAATTTTTTTTCTAATATCAGCGTAATTGAATGATACGCTATCCTGGCAAGCAAATTTTGTCTATATAAGATTAAAGAATGTTTGCCCAGATAAAATCTGTTTTACATAATCTATATGAAATAATTGATCTTTGTAAATTTAAAAAATATATCAAAAATACTAAAGTATATTTCCTATTATTAGTTCTATCAAGTGTTACACTCACTGGAATAGTTCACCAGAATTTACAGTTTTATATAACGTCATTTATTAAATCTCAAAAACACCATTTTAAAAACATGACAACTAAAATGCAAGACAGGTAGTAAGAGTCAAAACTAGCACTAATTGCACAGGAGTGACAGACCGTGGAGAAGAAAAACAGGTTCTTCATATTGCTTTATTGTCTTCCAGTGTGAATTGTTACCATACTTGCCTGAATCTGAATCTGGATTTAGCACATTAAATATGAGCTATATGAAAGTTATATGAATCTGTCTAAATTCAAGAGGGAAAGAAGCAGACCCAAGGAGCAAAAACACATTTGCCTAAAACGATCTTTGGTTTTATCTGGTAACTGTCAAAATAGGTACTTGAAATCCTTAGATTTTTCTTAAGAGGACCACCAATTGTCATGTATATATATGCTCACATTTCCCTAAACACTAAAATAAGTAACAATAAGTTGACATAAATTGTGACACAAATGTGGTTTTTATAAACCGAGAGTTTTATAACTTTCAAAACTGTTAAGATGCCTCTACTAAGGGCCTTTGTCATCTCAGTGAAAATAGTAAAAATACCAGAAAATAAAATCTACTTTGACCACATATTTGCATGTTAAAGTACTTCAGAAAATCACAAATGGTAATATTAATCATCATAGAAGAGGTCATTCCAAAGACTATGGGGTGTGATGTTCGATTTAGTATACTGAGTAAATCCTATCAGAGGAACTATTGACATTTAACCTCTAATTTAGATAAAACCAAAACAAACTATGTAGATAAGAAATATAATATTTTAAAAATATTATAATTTTGCGGGATTATAGTGAACATTGTTACTAATATTTTAGTTTTGGAAAATGTTTTCTCCTCATGGATTCTCAATGCAAAAATAAATGGATTTTTTCCTTTTATTTTTAACCTACTATGAAGCCACTTAGTCAAATTATGGCTTAGAACCATGTATCTATTTAACACTAAATTCTATCAATTTAATCCTTCAAATATACTGTTTGATACAAAATATTAAACTGCATGGGGGGAAAGGAAGACTATAGTGACTACTTGTAAAGTGATTTAAAAATTTTATAGAAAGAGTGAATATCAAATAGCATCAAGTCTTTGTGAAACATTAAAGATTTATGTGGAAGTAAATTATCCTCATATTACAATGATATTTTATACCAAGTGATATTTAATGAGATATCATCACATGTAATTCTTACATTTATAAATCTGATATAAAATAATAACTATTTTATCTAATTAAATACTTCAGCTTTATTATTTTCATGCAATTAAGGAAATCATTTGTTTAGAAAGTTTTTTAGAAAGACAAATTTTGTATTTACATTCAGTTGTTTATGTTAAATTTTATTTTTTATTTCATTCTATTTATTTATTTTTTTGTCTTTGAGACAGACTATGCAGTTTGGTTAGGCCTTGAGCTAACTTTGTAGCCCACACTAGCTTGAACTCACATCAATCCTCCTGTGTTAGCCTCCTGAGTGCTGGGATTACAGGCATGAGCCACCATGCCTGGCTCATGTAAAATATGAAAATAATTTACTTGTATGAGATAATAACCTCCACAAAATTAAGGTTCATGTTTAGAAGACATATTTACCTCATACACACACTGTGTAATCATTGTCTTATACAGTTTGTTTCTTTTTCCTATAAAGTACTTTGATTGTTACTATGACAGTGTTGGATTTTGTTAAGTCTATCAAAATATTTGATTATATTTATACTCAAAATATTTTATCACAATGGAAAATAATATCACTTACTTTGCTTTAGCTTCTGCATCTTCGTATGCTTTATTCGAAACATCATCCAATCCTCCAATCAAATGTTTGAAAGAACTGTCAGAGGAAAACACAGCCATTAGGATAAATCCTCTACAGAGCAGCAACAATGGCAACCTAATCAAACAATTCAGTGTTATCAAAATAAAAAAGAACTCAAACACTTCAAGTAGACACATTATTATGAAACATATCAACCAGTGTTGTTTTCCTTAATGTAAACTGTGTGATATCAGAGCCCTTTCTACCGAGGTCATCTCTATAGCTCTCAATCACTAGACACATTTGGCAAACTAGCCACATCTGTCAAAAAAGGTATTTAAAAACCTGGGTGAGATAAAAATATATGAAACTCTGATACACATCACAAAGTTAATGAGTCACTTCTTTATAATTCTGAAATAATAAGATACACTAATTATGGAACATCCACTACATGTCCAGTTAATTTAGTTAGCAATTCTCACACTGTTAAACACCAATATTATTCTCTCTACTTCAAAACAGTAGATGTTGGGGTGGGGGAAGTGAAGGGAAGGAGAAACAATTGAAATGCGTTATGTACATGTACCAATTCACTACAGTGAATATAATAATTATGTCCTGAACATATGCTCTAATAAAAGTCAAAAAATTTTGAAAGTTCAAAAAGTGGAAAAAATAGTAAATAAATCTTCAAAGACAAAAATAAACAACCAGATAGGAAAACAATAACAGAGAGCTAGAGGAAAATCAAGTTATTAGAGGGAGTAGAACTGATATTAGCATAAAGCAGGAAGACTAATTGAACTGCTAAAACTCAGATTGTTCTATATCCACTATTTACCTGGAATATACTCAAGTTTAGTTCAAATAGTGAAGCCTCGTGTATCACACACCTATGATATAAAATATTATACAGAAAACACACAATGAACACACACAAATACTTATTTGACCTATCTGTGAAGATAATTGAATTCAACCAGGTATGATAACTCTTACACACATATTTTTAACCACTATTAAATTAGACTGGATGAAGGAACAAAAAAATGTCTGTACAGTAAAGTTTGGTCCCTCACAAAGTGTGATTCTTACTCCTAAAACTTACAGTGTATCTCCTATCTAAACCATGACTCAGGGTTAGTTGTGAAATTTCTAGCAATATCTGGGAGAGAACTTTAAAAATACTTTGAAAAATTACACTTTAATTTTAAACTTCTCTCTGTATATATAATTATATACACATGCATCTATATTTATACCCCTTTCCTTTCCTTTCCTTTCCTTTCCTTTCCTTTCTTTTCCTTTCTTCTCCTCTCCTCCTCTCCCTCTTCTCGTCTTTTCTTGGTACTGAAGATTGAGCCCAGGATCTCTCACATGCTAAGTCAGTGCTCTACACTGATCTATATCCCAAGCCCTTCTGTAATCTTGATACAGTAAAGGACTCTGTGTTGTAATCATAAAGCAATGGTCAATGCATAGTCAGATCCTAGAACATAGTATATGTTCTATAGTGTATTTGGATATTTAAATTTAAAAGTTAATCATTTTCACAAATAAATATTTTTAATGTTCAAATCGCTATTTTATTTTCTATATAATTCTATTTTTAAAAAGAAAAACAGAAAAAGAGTAGAAATAATATAGAATTTCAAAAAAGTAAGAAATCAGCACTAGTTAATATATTACACATTGTTATCTTAAAAGTAGTTGCTCAAGTTACAAAATCAAAGCAAAAAATGAATAGACAATTAAGCAATGATAGCACAAACTATTGTTTTTGTTGAACTAACAGAGAGTTAGTAGTATGGTTATCTATCTTGCACACTTAAACACACATACACTTACATGTGTATACTTGCAAGTTGTTTTTTCCTTTTGAGCACTTTCTCTTTTTTTCTATTACAATATCTATTATACATTCTGGATCTTATTACTCTTTCAGTTTATTGTTATTATGAATTTTTACACTAGAGAGACAATATAATATTTACAAATGTGAGTCTGATTTAGTTCACTTATGAGAATAGTCTCAAGTTGCCTCCTTTGACCTATAAAAGCCTCAAGATCATCTTTTTTATAGCTGAGTAATATTCCATTGTATACAACAACCATATCTTTTAAAAAATAACACCTTGACCAAAAAGTGGCTAGATAGACATGGGAAAACTATTATGTTAACTGGGAGGCAGGAAACTACAGACAAAGAAAAAATTACTAGGAATTAATCCAGGGAATCAACAAATTTATTCCAAAATATGAGTTTTCCTATAATAAATTGTAATAATGTATACAAAATTAATGAATGTTTGATAAAATACAGAAAATACACATCCAAAAGTATTATCAATGACTAATAAAATCTCTATATTTCATAAAAATGTTCAAATATGATTTTTGATATTGTTCTTTTGTATAATCAATCTCTTTCCTATAGAATATTTTGTCTTTAAACTAAGAGAACGTCTCTAAGGTTGATATGTTCAAAATGAAAAGTAGAACAAAAATATTTACTATTAAAAACATAAGATTCTATCAATTTCCTGTTTCCATGGGCAATATGAAAATTTAAGTATAGAAAATTTAAATTACTTGTGCGAGATTTCTCTAATTCATCAGTATGTCTAGGTATATAATTCTATCCCCTAATTGAAACCTGTCCTTTATAATGGTTGTATACTTTGTAATATAACCAAATCCTAAACATTGTGAGAAAGTATTGATGAAGAACTATACAAGCATATTTTATAGGAAAACTAATGATCAATAACTTATCTTTGTAAGTTCATTCAAATTTATGAAAAATGGCACTCTTAGACATTCAAAATTCATAGAAATTCTGAAAGTTCAAATAAGCTTTTAAAAATTCTATCTTATTCTAAGTAACTACTGTATGTAAGTGGAGCAGGGTAGTATATTACCAAAGATTTAGAGGGTAGTTTGATAGTAAATTTGACCAAGATAAATAATTTTTAATTTAAGAAATTCTGTTCAGTCTATTAGATTTTTAGTACTGGACAAAAAAATAAAATAAATGATATGTACTTGCAAAAAGGATTCTACTACTTGTGAAATAAAGCCCCATTAATTTTCAGTAAAATATATTTTATGATAGAAAAAAATTAAAAATTGAAAGAAGAAATTTTTAAAAACATTATTTATAGGTGTTCTAACTGCAAGCAGCTAATGAGAACATCTGTTAACATTTTTCTCTAGACAGATCTGTTGTTGTTTGTAGAACTGCAACCATACCTGTGGTTTAATCCTCTGATTTATAACCTATTAAGTATTCATTTTTAAATCCATAGGCAGCATTTTAACAGCTTTTAACTATTTTGATAATTCAGTGCATCCACATACATAATAGAATGTCTTCTCCCCTACATATTTATATAAACATATACATATTCAGATGAAGGAAGGGTATATTAACTACATACACAAACATCTAAATTAGTACTTCAGATTTTAGGTTAAGAATATGGAATTTCTTTTCAAAATAATTACACTCAGGATTACAATTTTGTCTTTTGGTATTGGAATGTGCTCTTTACAAATACTGTGACATATTTTAAAACATTAAATGATTATATATGGACTTTATTCTAAATTTCTTCAAACAATAGTTCAACAATTACATATAAGCACTTTTTAAAAGGTAGAATTTTCAAGCAAATTACCAAGTTCAAAACAACTAACACTGCCTTGTATCTCCACATTAGCCAATAGGTAATTTATATCTTAATAAGCATAATTGATGGTGGTACAGAATTTATCATTCTTGGTATAGATATGATATAATCAGTATCACATTTTCCTTTTCACAGATAGTCTTCAGAAACACATGCCGTTTCTATGTGTTTTAATCAAACAGATATTTTAAAAATATTACTGTATGTATCTGATCCCTTATCAAATATTTACCGAGGTCTGATGACATTTCCTGACTAAAAAAGGAGAAGACTTTTGTTGTCATTGTTCTGATTCTTAAAATAGATTATGTTTTGAGAATCTTAGCAATAGAAAGAGTAGAAATCATAAAGTAGTACTATCTGTTTTACAAATATAGGCAACTCTAAGTAAATTATTAAATTTTTTTAATTTCACAATTACATACAATCTATATTTTGGCCTCCTAAAATAAAATGGCCAATTCACATATACTCCATACTTATTTTCAGAAAAAAAAAATAGGTCATTATATCCCTTTCATTATATTCCTTTTCTTTATTGATAAATTTTTAGTTACATCTTCAGTTTCATTGACCAATATCTGTTTATTTATAATTTTCATATCTTCTTGATTCAGCTTTGGTAACTCATATGTATGTAGGAATCTGTCCATTTCTTCTGTGTTTTCCATCTTACAAGAATTAAGGTTCTCAAAGTAGGTATTAATGATCTTGGATTTCTGCATTATCCATATGATTTGCACCTTTTCATTTCTAATTGCATGAACTTGAGTCCTTTCTTCCTTTTTTCTTCATACAGTTAGCTAAGAGTTGGTCAGTATCACTGGTTATTCAAGAGATGCAAATTAAAGCAATTCTATCTCACTCCAGAAACAATGGGAATTGTTAAGATATCAACCACTAGTAAAGACTGGAGAGGATGTGGGCAAAAGGAACCCTTCTCCACTGTTGGTGGGAGTTTAGACTGGGTGCAACCACTGTAGAAATCAGTGTGGATATTCCTCTAGAAACTAAAACTAAAAGTTTCTTTTGACTCAGCTAGTTCCCTTCTTTATCTCTTCCCAAAAGAATTCAAAATATACCACAGTGATACATGCACAGCCATGTTTATAGCAGCAGTTATACCTAAATCTTGGAAATAAAACAAATACCCACTAACAGATGAATGGATAAAGATTTTTTTAATACAATGGTACACTACTCAGCCATAAATAAATAAAGATGAACTTCAGAGATTTATAGGTAAATGGATGCATTTGAGACCATACTGTTAAGTGAAATAAATCACAGGTGTGCATATTGTATGTTTTCTCTGAAATAAGAAATAAGCATGAGAATGTATACTAGATATTATGAAATAGAAATAAAATGCTTAATTGT